TACACAAACTATAAACATACCAGGAGATCGTGTTTTGTAGCATGCTTGTGCTGCACTAAATCTAAACATTTCCTTCTTCAAATGAAAATCCTCGTGTTGATCATTCACTTTGAGATAATCTTCTTCAGAAATGAGTCTGTCCATACATGCATACAAATTAGTTTTCACCTCTTTATCAACATGAAAATCATTATCATAATGAAATTGGGGGTTTAAATAGTACGCAGCAGCATGTAAGTGTTGGTGTAATTGTCGATCTCACTTTTTATCTATAATATCTCATATTTCTTTGTAGGCATTTTCTTAACCTCACAATTCTTTTGCAATATCTTCTTTAGCCATATTCATTACTTCATAAATAAATCTCATAACCGGGGCCCTCTCACCATCAACCATTATAAGCTCTTTTATTAATGGTCCTATTGTCTTCAAAGCATAATTTGTACTGCGCCAAAATGAATCGTCTTTCATAACAATCTTTTTAACTTGTTTTCCTTCTTGTTTTTTGGCCCATGAACTTTTATCCCACTCTTCAGAAGCAAACATTACTTCCAAAGGTTGTCTTAACTCCTTGAATCTCTGCAATGTTAAATATGCAATAGCAAATTTTGTAACAGCAGGTCTAATAATTTCCTTGTCGGTGAATTTTCTCATCAAGAACTTACTAACGAAATTGACCTTCAATATGGCTGATTTATGTTGAGGCAACTGTCCCAACCTCTCAAGCATCAAGTCAATACAATGTGCAGCACAAGGAGTCCAGTAAAGGTGAGGCCTCTTGTCCATTAACATTCTCCCTGCAGCTTTGTATGCACTTGCATTATCAGTAATAACATGTACTACTAAGGCATCTCCCACTTCCTCCACAACTTCATCCAACATAATTATGCATCCTTTACAAAGCTTGAAGCATCTACTGATTTGAGAAAAATTATTTCATATAGATTGTTGATCAAGAAATTAATAATACTTTTATGTCGAATATCTGACCAACCATCTGACATTATTGTCACTCCTGTCCCAATCCAAGTCTTCTTAACATCATCCACCATTTTTGAAATTGTCTTAACCTCCTCATTCAGCATCCAAGTTCTCAGCTCATACATGCTTGGAAGTTGTAGTCATCTTCCATAGCTTCCAACATATCGTAACATATTGATCCATGACGGACTCCTAACAACATAAAATGAAATCCCATTTTCATAGATGAATCTGACAATATCCAAACAAACTCTTTTCCTGAGTTCTTTTTGTAGCAGTAGGAGGTTGAAGATCCTGAGTGTTTATGTTATCCTCGTCATCAATATTCATCATAAATCTATCCATGGGACCCCGAGTGCCTCGCTTAGAAGAAACTAGATGGCTTCCACTACTGGAACCTTCATGCTGTGATCTATAGTAAGAAGAGTTTCCTATCGTCTCTTTCATATTTCTTTGTGTGACCTCCTTTGTGGTGGAAAACTTCTTTAAATAATCTAAACATTCATTTTTCACCTTATGAGGTACTTTTGCACATGGTCCCACATTGACATAAGTGCAGGCTAGATGATCCTTCAACCTCTTGACCCCACCAGTTATGCGTTTCTCACAAAAATTACATTTCATGTAAACATATCCCTTCTTTGCACCTTCGCCTAACACCTCAACTTGAGTTTCATATTTCCATGCATGATCTTTCCTTCTTGTGCCACTAGTCATGCTAATAATTTATAGAAATATTAAATAATCAACATAAAAATCAACAATAGAACAATATGAATACAACAATATACTGGTCTGCCGGGGGTCCAAGGGGGCGCTGCCCCCTGGCGGGATTCGACCTGCTTGTTTTTGTAAGTTCGTAAATTGTTTGTATGGAAAGATACCGAGCGACACCAAGCATATACTGCTCGGTACCGAGCGATACTGGCTCGGTACCGAGCATGTACCTAGTGCTACCGAGCATGTACCGCTCAGTACCGAGCATATACTTGCTCGGTACCGAGAATATACTTGCTCGGTACCGAGTGGTACCTAGCGATACCTAGCAGTACCGAACATGTATTGAGCGGTACCGAGCGGACGAATGAAAGAAAGCCGAATCAAGAGTTATTCAAGCTTTCGTTACTACACGTCAAAGTCAATGCCCACAATACCGCTCACCTGCTCTTCCGACTTAATCGAGGCCTGAATGTTTCCTGCACTCACAACTTCGGCTTCGTTTCCTGCGTCGTCTCCTTTCGACTTCGTCTCCTGCAGTCACGGCTTCGTCTCCTTCCCTCACGGCTTCATCTCCTTCCCTCACGGCTTCGTCTATTTTCCTCACGGCTACGCCTCCAGTTCGCCTTTCAATTCTCACAGGAGCTCTAATCCTATACGCGAATACGAATAGGTTGCATCGTATTTACATATATACCAAAGAAAAATTTTTGAAGCGGTGCCTCGTACTGCCTCGAGGTGTTACATTCTGATGCGTACGCCTCGTGCAAAAAAATCGTAGGCTTCACTGGATGGTTCGAGTCGTAAGCCTCGATACTCATGAATTCCACCTCGACTTGAAGCGCGACTCAATGCGGACGCCTCATCCGCTTTTTTAATGGTTGGACTTATTACATATAATTCTTTCTTTCTCTACCCTAAAGAACATAAGGAAGTAAAGCAAGAATTGCATAGCTTTTGCGTAAATTTCATAATCCAAGATTGAATCCAAAAGTTCATACATAAGGTCATATTCATTGAAAACCTAAAGCCTAATTAAGGATAAATTATTCTTATCCTTGTTACATTCAAATAAATTAAAATGACAATTTGGCCAAATTTATCAATGGGTAAAAAAAAACTTGCAAGAAGACTCAATTTAACTACCTTGTTACTTTGATCCCGACCCTTTAAGCTTAAACTAAAAGAAATTGAGCTCACTGAACAAATTAGCTAACTATACTTCATCAAATATGTTTGGAGATGCAAATTAGAATAATAGAACAAATAAGAAAAGGAGCAACCGTGTTGACAAGCTAAAAGCCAAAAGCGGAAACATTGAGAATAGAAGGTGTCAACCTTTGTACATTGGTGTATTTTAAGAAACCCAGTAAGTAAAAATTGGAAAAAGAGAGAGATTTTCATCTTCTGGGTGAATAAAAGGAAGAGCAGGGGGCTTCGTTCAGCTCAATCAATTTTATTTAGAATAGGTAAAAGTATCATACATTAAGGTAAGATTTATGGGGTTCAAGAACTAAGGAGAAAGGGTATGATTTTTTGAGTAGTCCAATTAAGTTTAGGCTGTTAACCTCAATCTATCATTGTGATAGGAATTAAAAAGGTCCCAGCAATGTAAAATTAAAGACAAAGGGTGATGATATGATCCACTCGGTTAAAAGTACATACTCAACATTTCCAAGATGATATAGAAAACACCACCTGGTTGATATGGAACATAAGAACTAACAACTTAAGCAATTTAGGAAGTGTCCCAAGCAGTTATTAGAGTGGCATCCCAATTAAAGTGATGCAAGACAATTATGAGTCCCACCAGAGTACAATCACAACCTTATAGTTGACATAGGGAAAGACTTAGATCTATAAATAGGCTCAAAGAAGAAGAAAATGATGATAAGAAAAAACTTTGAAAACTTCTTTGAAAAAATCTAATTAAGATATGTTCCTTTCTTCCCCTCTATTCCTAATAGGCCCCTTTCATTGATATGCCCTTCTGAGTATTACACATACGATCAATCTCTTGCTTTTTCAAACTCTGATATAAACTTAATTCAACACCATTATAGGGTTGTTTGGCTGCAAGTAGGATTTAATTAAGGTAGAATTTAGTAAATTCTACAAATCTGGATTCACCAAACACTATGTATGTTAAATCTTGAAAACGGTTTACTATGATGTGTTAAATACAGTTAAATCCAGGTATACTGTTTGGCTAGTTATTTCAAAATTTAAAGATTAATATGATTGGGACATTTCATATATTTAATTTGCTCATCTCAACCATAACTAAACCAATCAAATCACACTAAATTTAATCAAAAAGATCAACTAATAACTAATTAGTGATTTACTAAGATAATTAAATAATAACTTATATTTAGACAAATTAAATCATAAATAAAAAATAATATCAATTGAGATAATGAATTTTCATTCACTAATATTAATTATTAAGATTAAATTAATTACTTCATTAACACACAAACATATATTTAAAAGGAGCTCGTTTGCATAGGAATCAAAAGGAGCAGCGACATGTGAAGAAAAAGAAGAGTTCATAAAACTTGCATATTTGTTAAATCCGGCCCATGATGGGATTTACTAAATCTAGGATTTAATACAAAACGGAGGAGAAATGGAATTTATGATTCTATAGTACTTAGAATTGTCTTTTTGACCGTTGGCAGGATTTACACTAAATCTAAGTATCCAACCTAAATCTTCCTATCAAACAGCCCTTGAAAATTAATTACTTAAGACACAAACATATATTTATAGGGAGCTCACTTGCATAGGAATCAACATGAGCAGCGATGTACGAAGAAAAAGAATAGTTCATAAAACTTGCAGATTTGTTAAATCCAGCCCATGATGGGATTTACTAAATCTAGGATTTAAGGCAAAATGGAGGAGAAACGGGATTTATGATTCTATAGGTTTTAAAATGGTCTTTTTGACCCCTGGGCAGGTTTTTTGCTAAATCCAGCCTAAATCTTGCTATCAAACAGCCCCTGAATGTTATCAATTGCCTTAAATTTATCCTTTTTGCTTCTGGTACCCTTTGAGGAACATTGCAACTTAAATTTGTAAAAGATGTATAATAGAAGACATCTGGCATCACTTCTGAGGAAATAGTAGATTAAAAAAGTAGTCTCAGAACAGGCAGTGCGGTCCATTTGTTCATTGTTAAGGTTTTTGTTCTCCATCCACCAAATTTATTCAATGCATAACAACCATTCGTTGAAAACTTTTAAGTAGATAATTTCCAAATAAGAAAAATAAATACAAAAGCAAATCCCGCTCACCAAATTGGGCAGCACAAACCAAAATTGTCCTAACTGCTGGGTGCTTTTCCTCCAGCTCCCATTTATCACTGCAGAATCTTAGCAGCTCCCAAACACCCAAACTTTCCATCAGACTCAATAGCAGAATTGGCATCTGATATCTGCAGATAAAAAAAGGACTCTCAAAAAACCGATAAGATGGGAAAAATAAATCGATTTTAAGAATAAGAGCGGGATGAGAACGGTTGAGGCGCACAACGAGCAAGCGAAGAAGACAAGACATAAAAAAGCATAGTTCCTGGCGTATCGGCGAACATTCTCCTGAACCCTCATCCGGGCCTGGGAGGGCCCGCCGGGCCAAGAGTAGGATCCGGCGTCGCCAACGAACCGTAGCGTCCAAGACGGCGTCTCGCCAGCGAAGTCCTCCGGCGTTAGCTTAGCGAACGGGTTAATAGTGAAAAGGGAAGCAAGGGTTCGGAGAAAGAAGAAGACGGGGGATATTACCCCAGAGACGGCGGCAGCCGGGTTTTTCGGCGGTAGAGGTTTCGAGGAGGAGGAAGGAAAGGAGGCAGAGGAGGTAGGCAACGAGGAGGAGCTAGTGTCAAGGGTTTCGAGGTAGCCGGAGTCGCGGAGCCAGGCTTCGAAGGCGGGCTCTGGTACGCTTAGGGCGAGCGGGTTCGCTACGAAGGGCATCTTTTCCACCTTGCTGGTGGACCGACTTGTGCTCTGATAATTTGCCAAAGCTGTGCTCGCTCTCTGGGCTCTCTGACAGTGGCAATCAAAAGAACAATTATAATTTTCAAACTTTATATATTTTAAATTTTAAAGACTATATATTTTAAAGAATAAATATAGTAAAAATTTATTTATATATTTAATTCATTTAAAAATAAATATAAAGTTTAAAATTCTTTTTAATAAAAAATTATGAGAAGATATTCTCACTTTTTTTTTTCATTTTCATCAAGAAATTTGATTTTATATTACTTTTAATAATAGAAATTAAAGTTTAAAATTCTTTTTATTAAAAAATTATGAGAAGATATTATTCTCACTTATTTTTTTCATTTTCATCAAGAAATTTGATTTTACATTAATTTTAATAATAGAAATTAGAAAAATATGCTCCTAGATTAATTTTGTGAATAAATATATTTGAAATTTTATTTAACATCAGAATACCCTTGCTTTTAAACCAATGAGTATTTATTTAAAGGATATTGTAACCATGTAGAGGTGGAATGTGGTGCCCCATCTTCCCACTTGTTATAACAAGAAAAAGACTATTTTCCATTTCTCAAGCTAATCTCTAGGATGGCTTCTTACTAATAGCAAACATTTGTTCTAAACTAATGAAAGCACGACCATCAAAGGTCTTCTTCATGTTTTTAAAATCTTTCCCAAACCAAATAATGTCTCCATAAGCCAACGAAGAATGATCGAAAGCTAATTTAAGCTTTTCATCAAATGAAAAGATTTACTCACTCGCCATCATAAAAGTGATGTCAAAAACCTTCTTGAAATATCAAAAATTTTGAGTCAAGCTTTATTTCTGCTCTTAAAATTCCATCAAACTAATTATTAACATTAATATAATTTAGAAATTTTGAACCAAGAGATAGGGGACTTATTCCACCAAGCATGTTTAGCTATAAAAATTTCAACGCATGTTGGAATAAGTGAGATTGATGATTTTGATCTAAATTTTTGAAAGGTTTAATTTTGAATATTTTGGTTTTGATTTTAAGCTTGAGAATTTTATAACCTTACTTGCCAAATTGAGGCTGAGTGAGAGGTTCAATATTTAAAATTTGGGAGATTTTGATTTTAATGAAAATTTTAATAAATTTAAAATCATACCTATCAAATTTAGGATCAATAAAAAATTTATGTAAATACTCAAATTCTTGCATAAAAAGAGCCATTTAATAACCTATTAATGATCTATAAGAAAGTTTTTTACATGCATGAAAATCTGTGTTGGAGTGTCACGGTCTGTTCTTGTGAGTGTAGTTGTGTTGGGCACTTTAAAATTTGAGTTCAAGCCATGCAAGAGTTGTGGTGTTGGGTTTGAAATAGTTTTTTTTTTTTTTTTAATATCCTAATCGAATACACTAATTAATATCCTTAGCCAAACACCCCCATCCCCCATTACATTCCTTGTCCAATAAGAAGAGGAAAAGAAGAGAGGAGAGAAGGGCGAGAGGAGAGGAGAGAGAATAGAGAGAAACCTGCCCGTGAGCAATTTCCATCCATTCTCCTTGTTGTGAAAGTTGTTATGATCGTAGTGGGTATTCTAAATCCTTTTCTATTTCGAATGATTTTGAGTATTTGTTTTCTATCTCCCCTAAATATGGTTAAAATGCATTATCTGTCAATTTAGTATGTTTCTACTATATAACTTTTGGTATATTATATATATGATAATCCTAAGCAATTTGATATGATAATATTGAAATTCCACTGCTTTTTTTTTTTTACATGTCCAGCCTTTTAACTTAAATGATTGAGATAAAAGTATATATAAAAATAAGTAAAAAAAAAATGTTGTATCAAGTTTGGATGACATACATGACATGCAAAGTAAAGTAAGTATTTGGCATAACATATATCTTGTACAACTTATAAGATATGCATGCATATTATCATGAGTACACCATTCATGAGATGTGTATACTGATAGTGTAAAATAATACTTAACATATTAACAGCATTGAATACCCATATGATATATAATGCATATATTATTATTATAATAAGACACATATGTGTAAATGCAAGAAAGGTTAACTAGTTATAATCTAATTCAAATTAGCTAGAGAAAAATATCTTATACAAGATGATGGGTTGATAGGGTTTCCTTTAGATTATAATATTATGATGTAATCCTAACACATGATACATGATAGAGAGTTATAATGAGGCAAGATACATCGAAGAGCAAGAGTGATGTTAAGTGTATATTTTGTATTGTTTCTTACATTTAAATTCAATAAAAATGTGATGCTTTTAGTTGATGTTGTATAGGAAATGCCAAGAAAAAGGAGAAAAAAATTGTAAGTGTTGAACCAAAATCGCATCATTCAATTACCAGCATCGTAGCATCAACAATGCCTTGGTGCTAGAGACAAATTAGGGAATCACAACATTGGAGCCTCAAGAAAATTGGCAAATAACTCAGTGCCTCGGTGGAGCCAAGGTCAGCACCGCAGTGCTTCATAGTGTCGCAACATCAGAAATTCATGATGTAATGCATGAGTCTTGAGAGTTTGAATGCTGGAACTTCGATCATTATACATCTATAGAGCCAAATTTTGCATTCAAGTGTCACAATACTTAACTTTTTATAGTGTGACGATGAAGTGGTTGACAAAAGATAGAGTTGTGCCGATTCAGCCAAGCGATGCACTGATTCAACCAACAGACACGTCGATTTAGCGTAGTGTCGTAGTGGAGCAAGCCCAACAACTTTATAATTTCAAGCGTTACAATTCCTGAAGTTGTTTCTATACTTACTATAAATAGTTTTTTAGTTCTTTTGTTGAGAGATTTTGTAATTTTCAGTATAGTTCTATAATTTTTTATGTAGTTCTTTAGTGTCCCCTTAAAGTAAAGTCTAAGGGAGGCTAAAGAAGTGCAAGATACTTTTATTGTAGATCTTATCCTGTCTCGTGTAAGCAATCCTATCATTGGAAAAGGAAGGAGTATGGAGAAGTTCATTTGTATTATCCTGGTAAAATCTTTCCTATTATTTCTCCTATATCTTTTCTTTTATGATTAAAATGAAGATGCACATGCTTTCTATTATTTTTATGTCTGACTAATTTTTGAATTTTTGGCTAATGATGTAAACATAATGCAAGTACTAATATAGACTCGTATTCCTTAAATTAATTATGAATGTTTTCAATATCTCTCATTCTTAATTTAATGTACATAATGACCATGCGTATAGTTAGTATCTAGTGTGATATATTGCCTCGATAGAGGAATATTAGAATAAATAAAAAATATTGAGTGGAATGTTGGCATGCCTAGACATATGATATTTAATCTTCTAGGTTTTATGGAGATGTTAGAACTATAGGAAGGTCATAAACATTCCTTTTCACCTCCACAAAGCTTGACAAAATTTAGGGATACATATGCTCTGATCCAATTAGCAATAAGAGTCTTATTAACTTTATTATTATATAAGTATTATTCTAAAATGTATTTTATATATTGGTATCTCATTATCTATTGTATTCTTTGTAATTGGCAAAAACTCAAAAGCCTTAATTTTCATTTAGTAAGATAAACCTTATATCTTTAGTATACATTACTAGTTTAATTGTAATCTAGCATATCAATTCCTAGTGAGATTGGCACTCTCTTACTCACTTCATTACTTGATCAATATGTACACTTACATATCTAGTGGGCAATCCAAGTATTAATTGACCTGAAGTATATCCTATTTCATGCATGCATTTAGTTATTCACTCCTGTACCCATAAATTAAGTGTCAACTATTACAAGATAACCACCTAACACGTTGATATAAGTCATGATATGATAAGATGTAAAAATATTCAGGAAATTATCATATGATTAACTAAATATCCAAACTTACATTAATATGAATATGTAAATGCATACATGACATGATTACTAGAGATAATACGAGTATGCATAAGTTATATGATATATGAGCAATATGATGCATGATATAATGGTAGGTTCTAGTTTTCTAGCTTATTATATGATTTCTATATTTTAGGGAAGAGTAAGAACTTTATGGAGTGAGGTAGATTAAGATTTTCTAGTTTAGGTGTTTTTTATTTATTTTTATGGTTATTTTGTAGTCAGATTTTATAAGAGGCAAATGATTTGAAAAATGTCTTCATGACTATTGTAAGTGATTTTTGAAAGATAATATAAAATATATATGTTTTAAGAATGTGAAAATGAAAGATTGATTCCACTATGTATATTATTTTTATATGGATGATTATTAGTGGCTCTAGTAGATGATTAGAAATATTTAAAATAAGAATTTCCTTCAAATTAGATCTTGGGGCATTAAAGTTTAAAATTTAAAGGTTTTGAAATTCCAATTTTGGTGAAAATTATTATGAATTTTGAAACCTTTCTACCAATATTTGAATTGAAGAAGGTTTAAAATATGGATGTTGGAAACATATATCATGATTGGCATAGTTTTGGAACAGTTCTTTTCATGTAGCTAAATGAAGAAATAAGGGAGCAATCAATTCTAAGAGGCTAAAATATACTCAAAATTATCAATTTTTTTACTTTAACACTTTAATATTTAAATATATGTTTGAGTTGACTAATTTATTTAAAAATTTAGGTAGGGACTTATGACATTGTAGTCAATAAATTTACCTCAAATCCTAAAGCTAAGGTAAGAATAATTGTAAGGGTACTAACTCTAACCTAAGTACAATGAATGCAAGCGAATTATAACTTGAAACCTAACTAAGGGCTTAAGTAGGCATGATGCCATGGTACCTATAATGCTGCCTTAAAAAGGATTAATATGTATATCCACATAAACACTTTTGAAATTATGAAGTTAAACTCTTTATGTAAGACATGATAGGTTTTTTTTTTTTTTTTTTTTGAAATTAAGACTTATGACTTAGCTAGTAAACCTATGTATTCTTATGATGAATGTATAAATGCTAGAATATGTTAGTAATTTTAATATTAGAAGTTTTTGAGCTCAAGTAGGTATAACTAAGTCATTTTGTGTCTAATTGGTCAAA